CGCAGTCGAGATCGGGGCCGAAGGCTAAGTTCACCGGAAGATGTCCGAGTTGCGGGAGCCGCCGGGTGCACACTGGAGGAATAAGTTGTAGTCGCCTCACCTTATTCAGGCTTTATTTCTAGATCCATTAATTACCAACTACGTTGCTGACGCTGTAAGAACAAGCTTTGATTAGTGTGTGAAGTTTGTGCTCGGAGCTTGGCCGTCATATTTTCCTCCCGGTGGATCTCCGCCTTCGGGTGAGAAAACTTGTCATCCCACGGGCCTCGGACGCCCACGTGGTGAAATGCGATCGTCTAAGACGTCCATCGGAGTGGAGTCCCGACGCCGCGGCCCACCGGTATGCTCCCGGAGGCGACCCTGCTCATCCGGGAAGTGATAAGGAACAGTTCTCAGTTGAGAAGATGCACTTGGCTCGGGATGACGGCCTGACAGAGTCCATAACGAGGTTGATTGTTCCCGGCCATGAGTGACGGCACTGGCATTGCACGTGTGTTGATAATTGGAAGTACGCGACGTGGTGATGGGGGGAGTGTTCATCCTTCAAATCCACTTCGAGTACCATGGCCGTGGTTCCGGGTCCATAGATTGAATAGGCAGACAGTCTAATCTTGAGCGCCCTTTCTTGGACGTTCGCCTTTGTCAACGTCTGGGGTCGATTTGTCAACTCAAACTCGGTGTATGGTCTCGTGAGTTTGACAGGCTTGGAACACACCTCATCTCGAGTCTCGCCAACCTAGCAAATTCACAACTCTATCAGAGCGAAGACTTCGATATGGTTCTCACTCGTGTCTTAGACGCCATTACGGCAGTGGCAGCTCTCAGCCTTAGGTTGTTGGCATTCCTGTTCACAAGATTCGTGAGTCTTGACATATGTCATATTTCTCCTTGCCCCTATGAATCGATGAACCGTATTCTAACAAGCAAAAAGCATCCTCTTGGAAAGAGATATCTCAATCGAATCTATGGGAGTTGCGCGTTGTATGCAGTCTCTCTAGTTGCTAGGCTCCTGTTGCCCAATTCGCGGCGGGCCTCTAGGCAACACCACCCATGGCTGCTTCTACTCTTGGGTTGGGTTGAACGGTCATCGCCGGTTACATCCTTGGTCACAGTCATGTTGAATATCCTGTCACTTGGATCCGTATGGGACTTCATCTACAGAGGAAGCGTACTCCACCAGAGTCACGATCTCTCCTTCTCTCGGATGGGCTACATGGATGAAGGTACGGCGCGGATCGTTGTAAGAGCGCCAGCTCTCCATACAAACTACGTCAAGATCAGTTGGGCGCCTTCGGAGGGAGATGACCAGGTTACCAAGTCGCAGACAATCGTCATCGCTGATTCCAATGATCATACCGGGACGTTTTTGCTTGAAGGGCTGGAGCCAGACACGCCGTACACCTACACCACAAATGCCAGCCATGCCGGATCTTTCAGGACTGCAGCCCTCTCGCCAAAGCGATGGAGTCTCATCTCCACAAGCTGCATCAAGCCTTTCTACCCTTACAACCCCTTGGATCATGGCTTGCGCATCAAAGGACTGGAGTACTTGGACCGGCATGTCTCGGCGAACCAGCCAGACATGATGCTCTTCCTGGGCGACTTCATCTACATCGACCTGCCAGTGGCCCTCGGCTGGACTCCAGAGCACTACACCACAGCATACCGTCAAGTCTATGCCTCGCCCAGCTGGTCACCCGCGCTTCGATCTGTGCCGTGGCTGCACGTCTACGACGACCATGAGATCATCAACGACTGGGCGGCGAACGAGACAGGTCTCTATCAGTCCGCCATGAAGCCATATTGGTCTTATCAAGGGCACGCGAACCCTCCCTCGCAGTATGGCGTCGGCAAAACGCACTACACCTTCCGCCGGGGCGACGTTTCGTTTTTCGTCCTAGACACGCGGCGCTATCGATCGGCTGAAAACATGGCGGACGGGCCTGAGAAGACGATGCTTGGCGCGGCGCAGCTAGCGGACCTGCGAAAGTGGCTTGAAACAGAAAAGTCGTGGAAAGTCGTGGTCAGCAGCGTCCCGTTCACGCGAAATTGGAGGGGCCCCGATTCGGCCGATAGCTGGTCGGGATATCTGTGGGAGAGAGACATGATCTTGGAGATGATGAGACAAACGGACGGAGCTATCATCTTGAGTGGAGTAAGCTGGTCTCTGTTTGATCGGCCCTGCCAAAATTTCAATAGTTTGCTTGAGCTAATTTTTTGCTTCTTTTTGACTAGGACAGGCATGAGCACGCGACGACGATCTTTCCGCCCACTAGCGACAAGGGTGGTAAGTCTGTGATTGAATTTTCCACTTCGCCCTTGAACCAGTTCTATGAACCCTTCGATCGGTTCCATAGACAGATTGAGGACACAGACGTCTCGGTGTATTCGCACCCGTGGGGAAACTCAAAGTTTGGTCGGGTGTCGTTTGACACGTCGGAGGAGGGCCGATGGACGGTAGACTATGAGCTTATCGTTGATGGACATCAAGTGTGGAACTACACGTGGGAGTTCACCAGGTGATCGACTGCCTCATTACCGAGCTCGTGGAGTCGAAGGATCATCAAAATGTGCACGCGCAGAGAAGTAGGGGTTTGACTTGAAAACTTTGCATTCATCGTGGCTTCAATCCGTTAAGCCGGCGCTCCTCGCTTTGCCTTGGAATATCCTTGCCAACCGAAAGTCCTTCCGATCCCTTGGTCTTGCTCTCGTCCTCGAAATGTTTTCCATACCCGTCAAAAAGAATCCTTCAAACGCCCACTTCCTATCTCAGTCTCCGCCTAAACTCCTCATCGCTGTACCCTAGGTCGCATGTCTGAAAGCATGCGTAGAATTGAAGTTGAAAGTCGATCGTGGTGTAAGGCCCTCAAAGATTGGGGGCCAAAGTCGCGGGGTAGAAAGTGACTCGTCTCGGACCCGTATCCGACAATTGAAGACGGGGCGACGTTAATTGCTCGTGTTTGGGTGCGTGCAAATGGAAGCGCCGATTCTTCAGACAATTGGCTGCAGAACATCGCCTTCGGGGGCAACAGCGGGCTCGTCCCTCTCAATGTTGCCGTGAACACCGGCTCTGGCGTTGAGGTTGTACTCGTGACGAATGATGTTGTTCATCGGGGTGATGGCAGCCTGCGTAGCTCCGAAGAGGGCCGCGGCGATGATGTAAGCGATGGATGTCTTCATCTTGTCTGTGGGATATTGCGACGCTTCTCGCGGTCTTTTCAAAAGGAAGGAATGTGTATATTTGTCGAGGTCAACTCGAAGGCGAGGCGGGACAGCTCAACCGAACACTCTCGTCGATGTCGTAGGGACTGAAGGACACGAACACAGGAACTCGAAACGCTTTGATGATGGCCGGATGAGGGGGTCCCCGAGGCTTATTAAAAAGGCCCGGCACGGCACGGCACACCAACAGCCACGGATTGACGTGACTGTATGAGTGTTCTGTGTCTGTACTCTGTAAGATTGTGACAGTCTTAATCAATCATAAAACCTTGAATGTCTTGAAGTGGAGCCAATGAGCATGAGAGATTCGGATCTTCGGACGGTCATTGCAGGAAGGTGTGAGCGGGATCAGCTAGACTGACTCGCTTAAGGAAGCTCGCCATGCACAGAGAGATTTGCAAAAGAGACATGGAAACAGCCCTACAGTAAATGTTTGCTTGGCCTCCAGCTGTGCCTCTTTGGCCCTGCCTCCCTTCCTATCATCAATGATGTGCCTATCTCCCACGGGGGTCTACGGTGTTGTAACCCTTGGCTCTTTGCACGCTGCCCAGGGATGGCGTGACTTTGCTTATTTAACTCAAGATTGGGCCTAACTGTTTCAAGTATACGCAGATACGCACGGCGCAGGAGCATGGATCGCCCGCTTGGCTCGGCCGATGCGACACAGTGTTGTAACCCATCTGTTTCCCCCTCCAAAATCACGGCATCGAGGTAAGTTGCATGAGAGGCCCTTGAAGAAACTACTTTAGTCGGATCGCCCGAAGAATGACATCGATATGTCCGAATCTTCAGTCGTTCTCGTTCCTGATCTTCGCCGGGAGACACCGGACGGCCCACGGGATCCCGAGTGGGAGCACGCCGGGCGGGCCTTTATTCCCGAAGTCAATTACGGATACAGAACTTCCATCATCCATCCATCTATCCACCTGGCATCAGCTCCGTATTCGTACCAGAAGAAACAAACCTCGGCAGTTCTCCACGTTTTGCCTCTGTACAACTTGCGACTGGTTGTAGTCTGATGCGTGGCTCAATCTGGCAGACACATGTTTAATTGTGCTGTCTCGGAAAAGCAAACCTGAGCGATGGCCCGCACCCAGAACCCGCAACTCCGTCCCTACCCTCCCTCACGTCAAGTTCCAGAACATATCGACGCCGTCATCCGCCCTGCATCTACATATCAGCTGCCACATCTGAACCACACGAGTTCGTCCAGCCGCGCTCGTAATTGGAGACTGAGTATTACTGATATTATCGGATCTCATCGTGTTCGTGATATCTGTAACTTGACACGTTCAACATCGCTATCGCAATCGCAATCGTCACGCGATAGATACGCGAGGCTCGCCTGTTCGGCCTTTATGATATCCCTATTTTCCCCTCCTGCCAGTAGAGATTTAGCGTTTAGTTGTTGCTGAGTCGACTTGTCAGCCAGTGACTCGAGTTCATGCTAATGTCTTCTAGACATTATGCATAACTCGGAATGAGCCAAATGCGGAAGTCTACGAAATCTAGATCTTATACCACCTTCACAAACGCCTTCTAGAATACCAGTAGCCTTTAGACTCCAGTCTACACGAAGAGCTTGCCAGCTTGTTAAATTTGCCGATCACGTATGTTGGGCAGACACTAGAGAGCTTGTGATCGGTTGAAGATGGGACGGCGAGGTTGCATTTAATCATCTTATCCTCCGTGGAGCTCTTGATGGCTTCAGGGTGCAAAGCATCCCAATCCATTCTCTATTGAATCGTAACAGACACACGGTCAGAACGAACTCCATCATGAGTAGCCAGACCGGACAGAATGGCCCAGCCGATAACCAGTACCTAGCCATGGTCGGCGATGTCCAAGCCGAGCTGACCCGCCTTCAAGTCCAGCATCGTTGGATCCAGATGTGCCTCAAAGATAAGATTGTTTTCGCGCCAGTGGATACCACGAATGGCGGGCTCAGGATTCTCGACATGGGCTGCGCCGACGGTATCTCAATCTTCAACTGCACTGTGAAATGGGACCTCTAACACGCGATATCACAGGAACACTACTACGGGACCTGCAGAAACAGGTTCCACCATCCGCGCACATGGTCGGCGCCGATGTTTCAACCATTTTCCTGCCCACGTCAGCTCAGGGCAACATCCGCTACGTAACCCACGACGTTTGCGATCCACCGGCCGGGGATCTAAAGGGCCAATTCGATCTGACCCACGTTCGCAATGTTCTCCACAGCGCCCACCGGTCCGGCATTGAGCAGGCCATCGCAAACCTCGCCGGTAAGTCATCGGTTGTTGAATTCGTTGGTTCGGGCTGCTGTTTGATGGGTTGCGCGCGTTCTAGTCTAACTGATGCAAGATACGTTGGCCTCGGGAGGCTGGTTGCAGATTATGGAGCTGGACATCAGTCCAGACCAGCCGAACCAACCCCAGTCACTGAAAGATCTCATTCACATCATTGGGACCATGTTTGAGAAGCAGGGAATGGATCGTAAATACGCGTCCAAAATTCCAGAGGCAATGAAGATGACCGGTCTCCAAAACTTCAAGGTCGAGCGAGTGGAGTGTGGGATTGGTAAAGTGCATGGCGACGAGGCCGCCGTCAAATCTTCCATCGAGCCCTTCATGCACACCATTCCGCTTGTCGCCAGGAACGCCCAAAGTGAGTCGACTAGAAGCAAGCTGTCTTTGCCGTAAGCCGACCCTCACTAACCAAATGTAGTGTTGGTTCCTGATATGGATCCGGTAATCTATACCAACCTGGAGGAGAGATACACAAAGGAGATGACTGAGCAGGGCGGCATTTTCCCAGCGAACGTCTTCATGGCTCAGAAGCCCGTTGCGTGAGTTGTAAATATATGAAATGGAATTCTTGGAAATTTGATTGGTCTACCTATGAGTCTCTGTATCACGTCATCATTTACACGCTTTGTGGCGTCTGTCATGTGTACTTTTGAGACGCAAGCTTGTATAATCTATGGAAATGAGATGTTGTGTTATGAAGAAGACCGATGGGCTATCCTGCTCGCTCTTGCGTATGGTTAAATTCGGAACTCATGGCATCCCGTGCACCGCTGTAATCGAGAAGGTCATATTCGATCTCAAATGATCTTAGCAGAAGTCTCAATTTATCCATTCTCAATGACTTTCTCAGATGAGATCTAAGTCCATACCATCAGCTTAATCCTCTCCAGTTTTACCATCTCATCTCAACAAGTAGTCGCATTCTCCTAGCAGGCCGTAGGAGGAGCGAACTCATAGCAAGTTGAGCCACTGCAACACCACGCCCAGCCATCACGGCAAACAGTCTCGGAAGGCTGACATCCCGCGGCTTGGCGAGCACCGATAGCCTCAGGAGCGGCGAGAGCAGCTGATGCCACAGCTACGAGAAGAGCAAGGCTGATCTTCACCATATTGGCCGTTGAGCTTTCTCATCTGTTAGCGACAGACGAGGGGGAAAGTTGACGACGACCTGGAAGCCACACTTACAAGATTGTGTATGGCACAGAATCTGGAGAAAGGGCGGCAAGCGGAAGCCAAGGCTGGGCTATTAAAATTTCCGCAGGAGGGTTTGTGAGGGTGAGTGAAATACTGGGGGCTGGGTTGAAGACTAATACCTTCGTTGACGAAAGAATGATAAAGTGAAAACTCTAATTGCATAGATACTTATAAGATGTTGCAATCTGAGCCTGAGTCTTGGTCTTACCCGAAGCTTGTCTGATCAAGGAAGGTGCGCTTGAAGGATTGCAGGATTATGCTTGGCACAACCACAGCTTGGTCTCCAACGTATAAGATGCAGTCATTGATGAATCCTGCAAGCCATATCAGTTCTAGGTAGAAAAGGCCAAGGCTGCAAAGGATTGTTGTAGCTGTTACAGGAAGGACCTCGGCCTAAGCTCGCTTCCAGGCGCACGAAAGTTCAGTTCAAGCTATAGGCAATGATGTAAGAATTTCCGAGGGCGGTGCCCATCCGATGTCAATTGCTCATAACAGCTGTATTTTTGAAAGGCTCGAAGATGAGAGGAATTAGAAGAGAGTCACTTTTCGAATTCGTGAATCGCAATTTTACAATGGTACTTGATCAATGATTTGAATGAGAAATGATGACAACCATGCCTCGTAACATCCTAGCGATGCGAAGCACAAGAACCGAGTGAAGATAAACGGTCAAACAGAAGGCATGCTGTCACTTTTACCTGTCCTAATATGTCCCAAGCAACCATACTTCAGTCTTGCTTAGGTTCCTTGACGATGTTTGCATGGTGCTCCGTCTGCGTGTTTGCACCGCTCTTCGAGTGCTCTTTCCTCTCCTCGTATTGCTGCTCTGCCATCTGCTGCTTGGCCTCAGCCTTGCTGGAAGGGTCCTCTGTTCATCGTCAGTATTCGGCCCCGGCCACGAAGGATATGGCAGAAATTTGACATACTAAAGGTGTCGGCTTGAGGCTGGTATTGAGGCATGTTGGAGAAGGAACGTCCTTTTTGAAGGATGAAGTTGACGAGTTGAGATATGTGTGGAAGATTCTGGTTATGTATATGGAAAGAGTATTTCGAGAGCTTGAAGTCAAGAGCTAGGACAAAAGTGACTCTTGATTATGAGGTATTGATAACAGTACACGTATTTAAACTATATTGATAATATATATATTATTCGTCTTTCAATTTCCACGGCTTCCATCGAATATGATGTTATCATTATGTGCATTGCGTAAATCGAGCGTCACAATCGCAGCGTGTATAATGTGTCTTCAGTGACGTCAAGCACTGGGTCAAAATGTGGAAATTTGCGGGAGCGGCTGTTGCACCATAGCATCCAAGTTGCCAATGATCACAGTTCGGGCGGGTCACACCTCCATCGAGCCGGAGAAGAGTCTCCTAACCTCCAGCATGACTGAAGCGGGCATCAGCTGCATTGGAAATGATACACGACTTCATCACATAGTCGAGTAGTACGAAGCCATCATGTCACGCTTCTTGGGGCTGTAACTGGGAGTATTTCGCCCCGCCGAATTGCGACGGAGGTTTGTACCAAAGCTTATACGTTATTGCTGGTGCTCTTCTCGATATTTCCGATTAACATCTACTCACATCACTGGCAAGTGTCGTGGTTGGTGCCCCGCGAAGTGAGGATGAGGCGTCGGAGCTATCCTGCCCTTGAACACACGATGACACGGTACAAGAAGGGATTAAACCCCATGTTACAGTTTCATGGGCCTTTTCGATTGATTAGCGTAAGCTTTCTCAAGTCTTGGCATAAGGGCGAATGGATCCTGCGCAGTTCCTCAGATGTGGCTGTCCAGGGGAAACCTCGGCAATTACGCCCGATTATACAAAGTAGATGGTGTTCTTTTCTATGCACGCTTGCTGATGCAGGTTTCCAGATGAGACTCTATATAACGCCCCCGGAAAAGTGTGATGTAAACGGTAACGAGAAGAAAAAGGAAAGAGAGACAAGATGAACGTCTGGCGAATGTGCCCTTATTATCCGTAATCCTCAATGATCATATCCAGCACCGCGCTGCCATGGACTGTGCATAGATGATTAGTAAGGAGGACAAGAGACTGGTTCCAGCAAAGGATAACTCACCTATTGTTGTTTTGGGATCGAAACTCGTGGATACTGCGTGCAGATCCGTTCCCAAACGGACTCGGTGGGGGGAAGTCGCTCGCTGGTGACCGCGGCGGGGCAGGACTTTGAGATCGTAATGAGCGGTCGGCGGGGAACATGGGCACCGACGGGCTCACGGCTGGCCTGGAGCCCGGCGAGGGCAGATATGACATTTCGTGGGTATCGCCTCTGCTGTTGAGGTTCGACGTGGACGTGGACACGTGCAGGCTCATGCCGCTCTCGGTAGCCTTCTCTTCGCCGTAGCGCAGCGACTCGCGGCGGTACGGGTTCACCTTGTCGTCCTCATCCAGGTCGAGAAGCGACTTGCCCTCGGTGCGGTCGCCCTTTGCAAGGATGGAGGGGTCGTTGAGCTGCGTGGGGCCGGTGCCGGTCGGTTGGCCCTTTACGCGCCAGAAGACGAGGATGCTGGAGATAAGGACCATGAGAAGGAGGACAAAGGCGAAGATGACGTTGACGATGAAGAGGATTACGCCGACGACACCGACGACGATGCCGGGGGTGTCGAATACGTTTGTGAAGATGAGGAGGAAGACGGAGTTGATGAAGTTGATGGCGTAGATTGAGATGTTGAAGGAGTTTGTGCTCTTGTCCATGAATGGCTTGAGGACGCTGACGGCGATCAGGGCGGCGGCCTCGATGACGATGAGGGCGATGGCCTGGGCGACGCCGGCCTTTTGACCGAAAGCGATGACGGCGGACTTCAGGAAGATGTAGGCGATGAACGGGATGATGAAGTAGTACGCAGAGGCGCGGTACTGGACATAGAGAAAGCCCCATTTGTTAATGATCTGGGGGTTCGAGAAAAGAACGTGCGCGGGGTTCTGGTGGGTGAGAATCGACTGCTTGGCAATGAGGATAACCTTCCACGATGCCCAGATGAGGGTGAAGAGGGTGCCAAGGAAGAAGAAGACGGCCAGGACTACAAGGGCGGCCGAGTCGATCTGGGTGAACTCCCACAGGCACAGGACGGCGATCTGCGGGAAGCCGATGAGGTTGAGGCGGAATAGGACGCCCTTGAGGGTAGTCTTCCAGTCGCGACGGAACTCGACGAAGCGGTCCTTCTTGGACCATCCCTGCTTCACCGCGATCTCGGTACCGTATCGGAACGCGGCGATAATGAGGACGGTAAAGATGATGAAGAAACAGTACACGATGAGGCCGGTGAGGAACAGGTTCGTCGATTCGATCTTTGCCTTGAAAGCCACGCGCTGGATGCCGTAGACGACGTAGGAGCCGTTGTCCTGGAGGATGTTCGCACGCTTCGCGATGGCGTTGATGCCGCGCTTGACGGGACCGATGCTGTTGACAATGTCGAGCGAGCGCTTCGAGACCTGCACCGAGATACCGCTCAACGAATCGAATAGTCGTGCCGCCTCACCGCCCGTTGAGCGCTGGTACCACGTACAGAGGGTCTGCATCCAGCCCAACCTGACGACACCCATTGACCACTGGAAATTCTGCGTCCACGCCTGTACGATGGGCGGCATATCGACGCCTGAAAGACCGACAAAGGCCTGAGCCTGGAAGTATCCGAATAGAGAGAGGGCGTTCGCGGCGAGATGGGCGGCGGCATCGGTATGGCCCATGGCGGAGATGATGCCGGCGGACCCGAGACCGAGGCCGGCGATGACGGCGGTGGCCCATTTGACGCCCACGAGATCGACGGTTTTACCGTTGGAGAAGTCTGCCTCGACGCAGGCGACGGTCGTGTTCGTCTCGGTGAGGTTGACGATGGCGCGGATGGTGGCGTCGAGGTCGGGGATGGTGTAGGCGATACCGGGCACCTGGTCGAGCTTGTCGCCGATTTCAAACGAGAACTCCATGTCGATCTTGCCGGGCTTCATCGGGCAGAGGCCCTGGAGGTCCATGGTGCACGGGTCTATCGTCATCTTGAGGTAGTCGTAGCCGTAGATGCGCAGCGCGACGTCGAAGACAGCCTTGCCTTCCACCGAGACGACGGCGGCGATGTTTGCCATGACGGAGCCATTGTTGGCGGAGACGACGACGTTGAACAAGCTGGCGGAGAAGTCGGATTTCTTTTGGCAGTTGTTGAGAGACGAGGACTGGAGGATGCGGTCGGCGTATGCGGTGGAGGGGAGGAGGGCGGCGAGGAGGGTGTATATGAGAAAAGGAGCGACTTGGGTGAGCTTCATGATTATTGCTTTATGTTTAGTTGTAACGAATGTGTGGTGTTTGTAATGTTATTGCCCTTCAAAGGTGT